CGACGTATGTTCTCCCTCATACGTGGATCCTAGAACCAAATCCTGATAAGTATGTATCCAGACATAACTACAGGAACCAGGATAATGGAAAGGAACCAGGGAGGTAAAGGAAAAGAAAGAACCTCAAAGAGAAGAACAGTAAGAAACAGGCATTAATAAGGAAGATATGGCTAAAAATTGGGTTAGTTTAAGGGAGAGGGGAGGGAAGGGTATACAAGGAACCTAGGGGATTAAAGGGAAAGAAGGAGCTCGAGAGAGGTAGGACCATAAGAGAAGGGAGAAAGGGGAAAAATGGGCTCACCTTAATTGTGGAAAACATCATGGAGGGGTGTATTAGTCACTTTTCTGTTGCAGTGATAGAAACAATGACCCGAGCAACTTATAGAAAGAAGAGTTTATTTGAGCCTACAGTTCCAGGGGAATTACAGTCCGTCATGGCAGGGAGGCTCTGTAAAGGCTCTGTAAGCCCACCCCCAGTGACGTGCTTCCTCCAGGATAGCCACACCTTCTAAAACCTCCCAAAACAGTGCCATCATCTAGGGTATTAGTAAGGAAGAAGGGGGAGGGACGTGGGGGCACCTTAAGTGGGAAAACCATGATAGAGGGGGGAGACGATACAAGAGATAAATAATGCCTAGCTAGTTTTAAAAACCAGAGGGAACCATATTACTCCAACAACCTACTGACAAATTATACAAACCAAATCAAGAAATATATGGCTAGGCAAGGTTTATCTGAGAACAACTGGTCTTTGCCCAGGATTTATCTAAATGGTACACAGTAATTAAAAGTACCAGACTGGGGGAACTAACCTTCTTGGATATTTAACAGACATACTTTGAGGCCTATACTAATTTGGTCAGAGGGACATAAAGGACAGTTTTTGCTCCTTGCCCTCCTTGGTCGACTAGTTCCAGGGGACTATGAGCATCTCTCAAAATGTCCTCTAATTGTGGTGGGTCACCTATCTTCTTGATCAAGGAGGCTGAGAAGACCCCACCAGATGGACTTGAACCAGTGTCCAGTCTACAAAGAGGAAGGTCAACACAGAGGAATCGTTTCCTCCATGCTTCCAAGCAAAGCCAGCCATAGTCAAGCAGGACCTTTGACTTATCTTCACATAGGCAGAACTGGTAAAAGAAAGGAGCCAGGGGCTCCTCCCAAGCCTATGTGACCCCTGAGGAACAGATCCTCAAATGACCTTAAGAGTAAAAATAAATTGGTTTATCTGGGACAACTGTATGGCCTTAGAACACCCAAAAGGTGTATAAGGTATAACCACAGATTAAAGGGGCCAGTATAATTTTTAATAAGAGTCCATATGTATAGCTAAAGGCTACATGACCAGTAACAATGCCAGATAGGAGATACCTTCTTTTGAGTTGTTGGCCAGGGTGGCCCAAGGCACTCCCAGATAGTAACCCAGCATAGAACAAAATGAACAGCAGACCCCAATCTTATCTAAAGGAATATTGACAACTGATTGCTGCTAGATGAGGAACAGCTGACCCTCCTAAAACAAAGAACCTCTAGATGGGTTGACTAGATTCACCAGAAAGACAAGTAGTGGGAAATGGCTGGGGGTGCTGACAACACAGCAGACAGTAGGGGGATAACAGAATATGGGCTCTAGTGGGGGGAGGGAAGCTATGGGAGAGTCCCATCTGGGAAGTGGGTATATAGTTGAATAAGATGGTTTGAGATGTTCTGTGTGACATACACACACCAAAAAAAAAAAAAAAACCACCAAATTTTAAAAAATGAATTCTATTTGAAGAAGCATAAAATTTACATCATGTTAATTAGTAGAGGTCATAAACATTACCACTGAAATCTGCCCAATGCCTTTACAGACATACACAGATGCCAAGTATCTGAGTACAACCAATTATGACTAGTAATAATCAGATACATACAGATTAGAGACGCATGCACCAACATCTCAGTGTTATTAGCAAAAACAATGAGTCTTAGACTGTAAGAAACAGTATATTTTAAAGTGAAATGGAGACCTTTTTTAAAGGTTAAAAACTCATTCAATTTTATTGCTTACAGGGCTTTTACTGAGTTCAGTATTGTGTAACTATTAATTCAACAGCAAACCTAAAAATTCTATAACCACTTTTGAAAGAGATCTATCTTTGCTCTGGAAACTGTTATTGAGTATGTTAAAGCTATAATGAAATGCTGCTTCTAAAAAAATAAAATATTTTTTAAAATTTAAATTAAAAAAAAATTCTTTTTTTCTTAAACCAGACATGGTGGCACAAATCTTAGTATTGGGGAGAATGAAATAGGAGGATCATGCATTGGAGGCCAGCTTGGCCCACACAGTAAGTTCAAGGACACCTTGAGCCAACCAAAGAAAATTCATTTAAAATAAAGAACTAAAGAATTAAACCAGCAAAATTATGGCTGGCAAGCCCTGGGTCTATTTACATGTAAAAGACAAGCTTTTTAAAAAGTGGGAATTATGATTACAGAACAGGATAGAAATATATAGACCTCCATAGCACCAAAAAAAAAATATACTAGCAAAATTAGAAAGGGAAGAGGAACAACTGAAAATATATGAAGTTAAAGTTTCTCATTTTTCAACCAAAAGTCACATCAACTGTGCCAAATGGGAACATGAGAGTTTTTCATTATTTGTTTTCATAACCATTTTTAATTCTTCAGACAGTAATTCCTAAAAAGCCCTTGATACCAATGAGATGTTCATGAGAAGAATCATAATCCCTCTAGATTCTTATCAGTTTCTTTTCCTTCTGTTAAATTCAAGATTAAATGCAATACTTGTTGCTACAAGGGTATCTGTCCACTGAGTCATCCACTCCTCATCTGTATATGGGTACAGAGATAATAAATGTCAGATCATTTAATACTTTCTGAGTGAGGAAACTGGGCAACTTCTATTTTTTCACTTATACTTTGCTGTGCTCTTCAAATTATTTGTAAAACATATGCATCGTTTCTTAATAATGTACTAAATGAGAAGATATACTAAGGGATTTACATATGCTTAAGAAAACCTTTTACCATTTCAGAGAGAAAGCCTGCTGATCACTATCACCAAGTCAGTCTCTCAAACTCTTTAAAGCTAATGCTAAGCAAAATGAGGCAGAGTAAGCTGTATGGTTCCAATACCTACCAACTTTTAAAACAATGATTAAAGCTTTCACAAGAGAGGACTTTTATTTTGTGTCTTTTTGAGACAGGGTCTCCCTATAGTCCCAGCTGGCCTAGAACTCACTATGTAGACCAGGCTGACCTTGAACTCACAGAGATCTGCCTGCCTCTGCCTCCCAAGTGCTGGAAATAAAGGTGTGCACCACCACACCCGGCTGAGAGGACTTTTCTTAACCATGATGTGGTCTCTGTGATCTCTGAGCTCTCATCAAGTCCCTGAACTCACTGTAACTATCACAGGATATTTTTACTTATACAATGTTATACTTAGGTTTCAATGCAATAAATCGAAGCTTGAAAATATCATTTTAAAAGAGTCTATCTTCTATCTTTAACAAGGAATTACTCCTAAACAGTGTGACGTGAAAGGAATATGCTCAAGGAAAGAATAAGAGATTTTAAAAAAAAAAAAAGCCAATGTAAAACACTTATCCATGAGTCAAAACTTACTAAGTTTTAATGCGTCAATTATCTGCTACATTAGAAGAGGCACATACCAACAGAGGTGCTTCCATCATCTTAACAAATATATGAATGTTCAGTGTAGTCAATGGATGCTCCATTAGTGTTCTTCTACAATGCTCGGTCAAGTCCAAGACTAGTTTACAGTGAAAAAAGTAGAGATGTGCATGTTCTATATTCTCAGAGCTGCAAATTAAAAATTAGGGATATCCACTTAATGAAGCTCAATGTGTGATCCTCCTACAATCCAAAAGGAGGACAGAAATAACAGATATCTTTGCTTAACTCTCATGCTTTCAATTACTCTCTTAGTAAAAACTTAAAAGAATGTAAGAAAAATAATGTGACCCTTACCCCCCCCATAAACCTAGGGGGTATTTTTTAATGAGCTGTAATATTTGAAGAAACCATATTGAATTGTATAAGCAATCTTCTTACTGAACTATATTATACATTTGCTTCTGAATTAGGTTGTAGGTTTCAATAAAAGACTGTCACCTTATGGACAAAGAGATTATCTATAAATATAGTTGCCTTTTTAGAGCTACGCTAAATGAAGATTTGTAACACAAATTTTCTAGGCTTAATTTAAACTCAAAGCTGTTGTGAATAAACTTGAACTAAAATATGTCTTAAGATAGAAACCATGTGATAGTTTGTAGGAGTTTGTGAATTTGTATCTGAAAAACTGAAAAACTGGGCAAATACATTTTATAAAAACTGGGCAAATACAGTTTATAATTTGAGTGTTGGCATTCTTTTCAATACAAGAATTTAGAGATGAACTTAGAGTAGGGATATCTTTTGCCAAAATTAAAACATGTTTTTTAAAATCTTCCCCAAATTTCCATATAGTATTAATAGTTTGGCAAAATGCTACAAAAAATTTTTTTATTTAATGACATGCATGAGACATGCTTAACTGAGTACTCACTGCTTTCAAATTTAATTACAATGTGATTGCTAATAGGATCAGCGATTAGAGAAAATCATTAATATTTACTTAATGACCATGTGTCAAACCCTATGCCAAACAAAAGAGATAAAGATAGACAATTCAAATCCTTGAAGGACTTAAACTAAAGGAGACATCTTAGGAAACAACTAAAATGGAGTTCCTAAGTTATAATAAATGCTATGAAGAACAAAAGAAATTTCATTCTGCCTCAAATTGGAAAGGAGAAGGAAAGAAAAAAGGAAGATCCCAGAGCTTACACAGGAAGGCAGGCACGGCTTCTTTGAAGAAGGCAGGACAAGCAGGCATTTCAAAGAAAAGAAGCTCACATACAACTAAGGCTCAATGAAAAGCTCATAACCCTGAATACTTAACCACTGCTGAAAGCCACCAAGGTCTAAGAGCAGGACATCCTGGGTAAGGCTGAACATCACATCAAAACCTCTGAAGCAAAACAACATTGAAAAGCTATTTAACAGGGACCCTTTGCTTGCTGCTAACAGAAACTAAAAAGCGGAATTTATTGGAAGTTTGGAAGGGCATCTGACAGAAAACATTAGAAATTCAAATAACTAGACTGGGAAAAGGACAGAGCATCCATGTAGACAGCTGAATAGCAAGACTTGTTCAGGGACATTCATTCTGCCATTAGTACACTTCTCTGTTTTTCTTGTAATTGGGTAAAGCATTCCTGTAAGATAGCCACAATGCCCTATAATCCAGTTTCTCTTTGTCTAATTCTAACTTTCTTGTTTGTTTGTTTCAAACGGGGTTTCCTTATACCCCTAGCTGCCTTGGAACTCATTATGTAGACCATAAAGAGATCTACCCACCTCTACCTCCCAAGTTAAAGGCCTGGTTAATGCTATCTCATATGCTCAGGTAAACTACTAGAGTGGATGACTCCAGGTGAGGTGTCCTTCTGACTGAACTGACCATGATATGGATGGATGAGCCAGGGTTAATACCTTTCTTGGCCTATAAATGAATTCTATATGGCATGCTACAATTTTTTATGATCCATCATATACACGTGTAACTAATATCAAGCACTCAGGTCCCAACATGATACAGTAAATAATATACTAGTCTTATGCAATGTTATAGACCCAGAAATTGGAATAATGCCTAGCACATAGAAAGCACTCATATAATAAATATTTGCTAAGTGATGAATGAATAAAAGAAAGAATGCATTCACTTCACCCCCAACAAGAGACAATCCAAAGTCATAGCCAACTACTTCATACACACATGATGGGTAAGGCTATACCCAGTATCTAAAGACCATCTGTGCCATGTCAGGTTCAGATTAACAACTTGCCAACTTTAAATAAATGATTACCCAAGAAAAACATATACTCAAAAGTAAACTAAAATAGGATAACATTACTTCTATTTCCATTTTTTTAAATAGAAAAAGCAGAAAAACTTCCAAAACAGTATGCATATGATACACCTCCATACATGTAGGCAAAACACACTTAGAACCATTATAAAAAATTTTAAGTAAATAAATGAAAAACTCTAACTGGTTATTGCTTGTGATCTACTTAAGAACTAAAGGAAAAAATTTAACCCTGGATTGCCCCTCAACCAAAAGTACTGAAAATGGGCTTCTCTAGCATTTTAAGCTATAAACCAGACAAAAACATTAAAACATTCTGCTCAAAAACTACTTAAAAGTGCACGTAGGATTATTGTGGCAAAGTAACCTACAAAAATTTCTGGAGCTTCATTCTGAAAACTGTTATTTAACCCCTATTGACCACTGCAAGAGATCTACTCCTAAAATACCTCCCATGCTCATTTGTGATATCCCATCATGTGGCTTACTCACACCATCACTGTGCACCCTAGACTATCATTTCTGTATACTAACATAATCTGGCCTTATGCAATCAAGGTATTTCAGGTTTCCCTATACACTTAACATGTTTATGGTTCCTTCAGAAAAGCCCATGCTCGGGTAGTATGATGAAAATGTTGACAAATATGAAATACGTGAACAACAGAAAATCAAACTGTTGATGCGGGGCTCCCGTACATACCCAATATTTTCCAAAAGGGTGATTTCTGTGGTTAAGGCAAACTGATATGTGGTTCCATACACAAAGGCAGCTTCCATGACTGCTCTGTGCTCTAGAGAGGAGATGGAGAGTTGAAAGGGAAGAGTTAGTGACTCCATGTAAACTTCAATTCTGATTTAAAGAGAAATCCTTTGCAGGGATCTCAGTTGGGAAAATACAAGCAGTTTAAAGGAGATATTTTTATTGATTTCCCACTATGGAAGATAATCAGATCTCTTTTCTGAAACATGCACCCTTTACTCTTCTGATATAGTTATAATTTTTATAACACTTTACCAGTGTTTATATTATGACTAAGGAGTATTATTTACAGATAAGCCTTACAGCAGAATAACCACTTTTGCTTTTGATGGTTTGTTTTTACTGCAGTTACAGCCATCTCTTAAATTTTTTGTTTATACTTCTTATTTCTTCTTAAGCTTCTACAACTCGTCAAATGCATCAGGTACACTGCCTATTCTATCATCTTGGATACTTCTGCAGAGTGGTCTGATTGGATGCACTGTGGACTACCGACTGGTCTGCCCTCTGCACAACTGTCATTCTGGGGTTCTTATTCTTTCTCTTGTGTTGGGTCCCTTTGGCCTGTTAGCCATAACTCCTTGCTTATTTTTACTTTTTCCCTCCATTCTCTTGCACCTTCTTATGACATGATGTATGAACTACAAAATTTTTGTCACCTGCACTTTTGAAAGTGTCATAATTCTTTCACAGTTAACACAGTGTACAGTTGGCTGCATAGAGACTAGATTCCAGCATCTCCTTTTAGAATTCTGAAGACATCATTCCACCTTCGTCCACTTCCAGAGCTTCAGTTAAGATTCTGCATTTAAGAGCACAAGCTGGTCTTGCAGATGACCTGGGTTCAATTCCCAGCACCCACATGGTGACCAACAACCATCGGTAACTCCAGTTCCAGGAGACGCTCTGACACCATCTTCTGACCTCCACATATATTGCACAACATAGGTACACTTATGTACATGCAGGCAAAACATTCGTACACATAAATTAGTTCCAGGCCAGCTGGGGCTACAGGAAAACCCTGTCCCAAAAAGACCAAAAATTTTTTTAAAATAAAAATAAAATTTGAAAAAGAAAAGAAGTTCAATGCCATTCTCCTTCTTGGTCCTTGTACCAGTTACTTTTCTCATTGTTGTGACCAAGTTCTGACAAAAAGCAACTTAAGGAAAGAACAGTCTATTGTGGCTCATGGTTTAAGGGTACACAGTCATTATGGCAGGAAAGAATGGCAACAGAGGTGGGAGGCAGCTGGTCACACTGCATCTGCGATTCAGAAGCAAAGAGTGAAGAATGCTGGAACTCAGCTTGCTTACAGACTCAACAGGCCCTTCCAATCTGAAAGTACTTCAGTTCCAGAAAAATTCAAGTATTTATTTGATAGTTCCCTTTGTTCAGGTATCATGCTCTCTTCTTTGTGGGAGACAGGCTTGAGCCTAGAGTGGAAGTCCTAATGACAGTCATACAACAGGCCTGAGAAAATGGCCCAACCACTGGAGCCACGAGGAACACCTTGTGATTATCGCTCCATTTGGCAAGTTGTAGGGCTGACGCTTAAGGCTCGCCACTCCCTAGTCGCCACCTCTTGAAATTCCAGGTTGCGGTACAGCTTGCAGCACATGGGCATAACAACAGCCATGGTCACATGATTTACCAGAACCAGGGCTGTCCATATATAGCATAGTCATTGTATCCATGTCTGATAGGTCCTGGAACTAGGGCTCCCCATATATAGCATAGTCGTTGCATCCTTGTCTGATTGGTCCAGGGACCCTATATAAGCTTGTAAATTCCTCAATAAAATAGATCAGCATCACTGAACCTGGTCTCCTGTGTCTGAATGCAGCTCCACTGACACAGTCTCCTCACTAGCCCTGGGGTCCGGGATCGGGCGGTGGTGGCGACGACCGTGAAGGTGGACTGGACGGACGGCCGCATCTCATAATTGCTATTTCCAGTCACTTTTGTTCCCTTCCCCATTTACTCCCAGAGCACTTGAACTTCATATCATCAGATCACCTCACTCCACGAACCACCCCACTTTGTTGTACCTGCCACCACAGCCCTGATCACTCCTCATCCTGTAAGGACTTTCACTTCTGTCAGAATCCTTGGTGATTTCGATGCACATACAAAAAAGTTTTTCAAATTCTTCACCTCCTAATTCTCAGCCTTCAGTATTCCAGTGAGCTCTCTTCAGTCCTTCCTGTACCACTCACTGCTATAGCCCCAATCCAAGCCCTGGGAATACCAATGTGTGCTGTTCGGTACTGCACTCTGATCTTTTCTTCTCTCTTAATCAAGTTTAGGTTATGTGGTCAATTTTTATAATTATTCTCATTCCCAAGGGGCCAGTACACAGTTCAGGTTAAGTCTAATATTTTGTCTACTCTGTACCTATACCCATGAAAACAAACACTGCTAGAGGGAAAAGAAACAAAACTAAGAGCCTCACCTTAAATTACTGATATTAAGTATTACTGTGGCTAGAAACCCCTCTCTCTCTCTCTCTCTCTCTCTCTCTCTCTCTCTCTCTCTCTCTCTCTTTATTGTTCACTTATTTATTTTGGGTTTTTTGAGGCAGGGTTTTGTTATGTAGCCCAGTCTGGCCTCAAACTCATGGCAGCCTAGAGCTAGGATTACAGAGGTAACCATGCCTATGTAGATTTCCAGACTTCCTAAATAATTATTTCATCTCTTTTCTCAAACTAAGACTTCATTCTATTTAAAAAAAGGATTTTATTTCTATTTCATTGATTAAAACAGACCTAATCTTCTTTCAAAGGGCTGGAGAGATAGCTCAGTCAGTATAGTATTTGCTATGCACACCTGAGTACCTGAGCTCGACACCCCAGAACCTATGTAAAAAGTCAACAAAAGGGGCTGGAGAGATGGCTCCATGGTTAAGACCACTGGTTGCTCTTGCAGAAGACCTAGGTTCAGTTCCCAGCACCCACATGGTAACTAACAACCACCTGTAACTCCAGTTCCAGGGGATCTAATACCCTCTTCTTCTGACCTCTGTGGGTACTGCATGATATGAGTGCACGAACATGCATGCAGGCAATAAACTCAAACATATAAAAGTTTTTAAAAAAATGGTTGGGCTTAGCAGTGAATGCCTATAATAATGAGGCTGGGGAGGTGGAGACAGGAGGATACCTGGGGTTTGCTGTCTAGCCCAGTCTAGGTGAACCAATAAGCTCCATGTTCCACTAGAGAATCTGTCTCCAAAAAATAAGGTGAAGAATGATGGAGGAGGACACACAATGTCAACCTCTAGGCAACACACACACAGTCAGACACACACACACACACACACACACACACACACACGGAGAAAAACAAAACAAAACAAAGATTCTTCCATAAGCTCCCAAACACTATCTGTCTATGCACTTACTTGAATTGATGCCACATGATCTAATTTTTCCTATCACCACAGAGAAATATTCCTGAGCTTCTATAACAACCATGCCTCCCCCTTTCACTAGATTCTAGTCCCTCTTGACACTCAGAGCTCCTACTCCAGCCATTCTCCTGCATATGTCTCGTCTTCCTACAAAAACTTGCTTATCAATATACAATTAAGTATCTTAAAAAAAATTATTCTCCCGGCACTGGAGAGATGGCTCAGTGGTTAAGAACACTGGCTGTTCTTGCAGAAGACCCAGGCTCGAATCCCAGCACCCACGTGGCAGTTAACTGTCCATAACTCCAGTTCCAGGGGATCCAACAGTCTCTCCTGTCCTCTGCAGGCATTGCATGACATGGGTGCACTTACCTACATGCAGGCAATACACGCATACACATAAAATAAAAATAATAAAATATTTTTTAAAAATACTTCACTGGGCTGGAGAGATGGCTCAGCAGTTGAGAGCACTGGCTGCTCTTCCAAGGACCCAGGTTCAGTTCCCAGCATCTGAATGGTGGTTAACAATCATAGGTAACTCAGTAAGTCCAGTTCAAGGGAATCTGATACTCTTTTCTGGCCTCCTCAGGTTTGCATGCATGTATACACATACATACATGCAGGCAAACACTTATACACATATAATAAATAAAACTTAAAAGAATAAATAAAATAAAAATTTCTTTTCTGCCTCACATACTCTTCCAGACAATTTTTCTCCTTTCCTTCACAGCAAAACTCCCCTCATAGGTCCATACTCATCATCTCCCACAGCTATCCACTATTCTCTATACACTCTAATTATGCCCTCACTTCTATCACTCTGCAGAAACTGCATTTGTTACGGTCACCAGGAACTACCACATTGTTAAGCACTATGGTCAACTGGCAGTTCTTAATGCAATATTTCTTAACACAATTATCCTACTGTGTTCCTTAAAGCCTCATCTTCAGGGGCTGGAGAGATGGCTCAGCAGTTAAGAGCACTGACTGCTCTTGCAGAGGACCCGAGTTCAATTCCCAGCAGCTACAAACCGTCTTTAACTCCAGTTCCAGGGGAATCCAACACCCTCTTCTGACCTCTGCAGCACTACACAACGCGGGTGCACTAACATGCATGCAGACAATATACACATAAAATAAAAATAATAAAATATTTAAAAAAATAAACCCACTTTCAGCAATGTCCCAGATCACCCCTTCACTCAGTGGTGAAGATTGAACCCAGGGCCTCACACATGCTAGGCAAACTTTCTTCCACTGAGTTTCATTCCTAGCTCCAAACTCCATCTTCAGGGCTCAAACAGCAATGGTCCCCTTGGAAAGGGAAGTGGCTAGAACTTGAATGTTTGGACTTCCCTGGTTTCTGTTTGATTCTTGGGTTTTAGGAAGATACCCTCAAAAGAATTCAGGAATATGAAAATGTCTCTCTACTGTAGACCAGCTCACAGGAGAAAATCTTTTTGGCACTATAGGCTAATGCCCACCGATGTCGTTAAGACATGGTTCTTATTTGAACTGAAGCATGATGCATGCAAAATAGCCCAGAAGACAGAAACACTTTTGCTTCTTTCAAAGCTACCTTCTTTATTTCAGACATCAAAACATCAACAGCA